GGGGGGATGGCATGAGGAGGATGGGCAGTGCAGGCAGGTGGCATCTGTCGGGAGACTGGATGGGGGAAAATGGGCAGCACGGCAGCTGGGCACCGTGGGGATGATGGGCACGAGCAGGCATCTCTCGGGGAGGTGGGACTGGGAAAAGTGGGCACCCATCAGGGAGGAGGGGGCAATGGGCACCAGCAGACAGGTAGGTGCTGGCAGGGCCATAAGCGCTGTGGGAAAGTGCTCCCAACAGGATGGTGTGTGCAGTCAGGCAGTGCACCAAATGGGTGCCAGTGGGCAGCTGGGTGCTGACAGGGGGGCACGAGCAGGCATCTCTCGGGGAGGTGGGACTGGGAAAAGTGGGCACCCATCAGGGAGGAGGGGGCAATGGGCACCAGCAGACAGGTAGGTGCTGGCAGGGCCATAAGCGCTGTGGGAAAGTGCTCCCAACAGGATGGTGTGTGCAGTCAGGCAGTGCACCAAATGGGTGCCAGTGGGCAGCTGGGTGCTGACAGGGTGGTGGGCACCGGTGGGCGGGTTGAAACCAGCAGGCAGGTGGACAGCAGCGGGCAGGTGGGTAGTGATAGACCACGCAGGCACTGATGGGACACGTTATCGTCAGCAGTGGTATTTGGGTGCTGGCAGCCCAGAGGCTGTGCATGGGCACTGTCAGAAGAGCAGAGGCTGTGGGCAGTAGCATGCCAGCCCTCGCCCTTTGGCAGGGACGCTCAGCCTGCTCAGGGCATCTCGGTACCGGGAGGCCATCTGGCCCTGCCGTCTGTCCCCACCCCCACCATCTTGCCACATTTGTGCCTGGGGTCCTTCCCCAGTCCCCTGCCCCATCCCCATGGCCCTGCCCTGTCCTTTGCGCCACACTTGTGCTCTGTCCCTGCTGACCTGCTGGTCCAGAGGAGTCCGCGCTGTTTTGCTCCGTCCCATCCCTGCTGCTGCGCAGTGTCTGATCCAGCCCTGCCCCTCATCCAGCCGTGCCTGCCCGCAGACGTGGGTGGCTGGCTTGGCGTGCTCTGGGACCATCTGTCTCACTGGGGGGTTGTGGATCCAGCTGGAGCACGGTGGAAAGTGCCCTTCCTTGGGGAGGAGGGTAAGCCAGGGTGGTGAGGCGGGCCTGGCTTCCTCATCCCTTGGCTGTCCCTAGGGCCGATCACCTGCGCCAGAGCTCAGTGCCCACTGCTGAGGCAGGATGCTAGCAGCAGCCAGGCTGCCCCGGAGCCCCTCCCCAGGCACGGGGCTGAGCCTGCCAGGCTGGGGCTGGGGCAGACCTTGTGTGCCTCTCGCTCCCCTTGCAGAGGTAACCCTGGGGCTGCGGAGCACCCCCATCCGCATCACCACTGTCCCCAGCAGCAGCAGCATCTGCAGCATCAGCAGCAATGTCGCGAAGGTGAGTGCCCAGAGGGGCTGGGTGCTGTGGGGCCATGCCCCACTTGGGCATGGTCTGGGGGGTCCTGGGCTTGGAGTGGGGAGCAGTGACCAGGGCGGACTGGTTGGTGGTGGCGGCACAGTCTGGAAGCTCTGGCTGGTTTTTCTTTTTTACGAAGAGACCCCAGGGTCTCTCATGGATCCACAGCCCCAGCCATGTGAGCCCCCTGCACTGTGGACTGTGCCACTGTGTATGCAGATGTTCAAGGGAGTGAGGGGGAGGTGGGCTGTGAGCCTTTTGTGGGTCTCCCTCTGTTCTGAACAGCTTTTAGGGTGGCTGCAGCTCAGGGAAAAACCCATTGCCACCCACCCCTCTGTTTTCCATCCTGGGAATGGACCTTGGCTGTGCGCTGGGGAGCCTGCCCCAGTCGCCGGGGATCCACAAGGATCTCTGACCCATCCTGGAGCTGTGAGCTGCGGTCCTGCCTCCTCTTGCTTTACAATCCCTAGGCAACAGCAGAACGGCAGCCCCAGCCCACC